TATATATATATACATATACTGTATATTAATTATATATATATAATTATATATATACACACTGTATATATATAATCCAACCATTGATGAATCTTCTACCCTCTGGTGACTCTGGTAATCAAACACTTCCATTGCTGCAGAATGCCCCTTTGGTTCGATGATTCCAACATTGAAATGCCCATTTAGGCCACGATGGCCACGGGGAGTTCCCAGCGGCCGGCCTTGTTGATCACCGCGGAGGTCTTCTTGGAGTACTCAAGTGTGTCGATCAGCTCCTGCAAAAATTAACAAATATGTCGTGTCTCGAGTCCCAGGAGACTCAAACAACTTGATGAATCTGATTACAGACTTGATATATCTTGATATCAGCTGTTGGGTCAAGGACATTGAACTGTAGAACTCCTTGCTTTCAAGGATGTCACCCTCAGCGGAAAGCAGTCGAAGAATCTCGTCTTCGATATCCTTGCAAGCCCGGGCGCTTTCTTTAGAACTTTTTATCCGACTGACAGCTATATATAACAATCATCAACACTCTCGTGTGTTTTGCCATGAATCTTGGGAATGTATTTAGACAATATCTGCTGTCCTTCAGCTGCTTGTTCATCGCGGCACCATTCTTCACAAGCTCCTGGAATCCAAGTGTGCAAAGCTCAGTGCTTTCGACCAGGGAAATGATGTGAAGCTTTATAGACCCTATCATGCTACAACATCATACAACATCATCATCAACTGCACCGGCTCATTCCTGAAGCTCAGAATGTCATCAAAAGCATCCTGTCCACTGTCCTGCTTCTTCTCTTCCATCTCTGGCTGCTCTTTTGCAACCACGATACCCAACATCTGATCCTGTCGCAAGCGGCGCATCGCCGCCACAGAAAACACATTGGACATCCAGAAGGCGGTTTCGGATGTTTCTGCGCTCCTGCAAGCCCTCCGGAGTAATGGCAAAGTTCAGCAAGGTCACCTGTTCAAGTGGCATCCTTTTGACCGTATCTGCTACCGGCTTCACTGGATTGATGGGAAAGTCTGCAGGAAAGAATGGTCTTGCCGTAACTTACCATAGAAAACCATGAAAATGTTGGAGGGGTTCTGTCAGGATTCCCTTAAACCAGATCTGAAAATCGAGCCGACCATTCAAACCCCAGGATGATCGCACACCTTCACCGAGGTCTCCGGGGAGTAGTGAGGATTGGACAGAGTCGTGGTCATAAAGAACCGGAACCTCGCAACATTCTGTTTGGTGAATCCTGATGAACTAGAAATCTGAATCTCCGACAATCCGACAATGGTTGGTTCCATGCCATCAATAGTTGATTATCTCACCATTAAATCCCATCAATATAGATTTTATATATATATAAATACATATATCACATAATATGGTTGCGTCTGATGATTCAGCCCTGGGTTTCTGCTGGAGATGTCTTTCCAATTGCAAGTCAGAGTGTACTGGCCATTGCACTGAGTCCCAAACTTGTCATCATAAGCAACCTGAAGCTGTGTGTCTGGTTGCGCATTCGCCCCCACTTCAAATCACCGATGAAATGCCAAAATCGCGTTATTCCCAGTACATGCATATATATATATATATGTATTGTATATATATATATATAATTATACATATGTATATATATATATATACCAAGTATTTGTATATGCATATTGATTTGTTATCAGTTTCCCCATGTCTTTAATGGCCATAAATTAGGGCATATCCCCCTATCCCCAATTTTGAGACGTACCCACATCCTACGCACTGTGACGGAACTCTTTGGTCAGGGCACGTTCTTGTCACCCAGCTTGATGACAAACGAGGTCCCGTCACGGATTTTCTGTTGCTGAAGCACCTGACACTGCAACACTCGAAATGCGTCTGAAGCACTCGAAATGCAACCAGGATTCATGATCAAGGGGATCAACGGATTGCTTGAGAGGTAAATATCTGGGAAACCAGGTCTTTCCTCTCACATATATGAGGTTCCTCTAAATTGTCGGTTCAGACATGCAACCACAGTTGAATCACTATGAAGCCCAAGGCATTGTCATCTCCGAAGTTGGATAAAATGTGGGCTGCCCCACAGGTTCCAGTGCAGGATCCAGCGCTTCACCGATGTTTTCCAACAGAATCCATTTGCCAAACTGGATACCAAGCCTCAGTCCCGGGAGATCCAATGAAGATCCAGCTGCATCCAACGGCACGGGATATTTCAAGCCAACATATTAAGCAACCCCCAAAAAGATAGACAAGTAAAATCAGTAAAATCCAATCCTCAAAAAGTAGTGAGTTACAAACCTATCTTCGAGGTGTCTATTGAGTCAAACAGCTTGGATCTTTGGGACATCGAACAGAAAGACCCTGCAGATCGAAGATGCTGAAACCCATCCCCAGTGTCCCAAAATCGTGCTATGTAAACATACAAACCATGTCTGGCCACCATAGAATCAACTTGAATCGACTGGATATCTGATAGTATCTCAACCATGTAGTCCCATCCCTCCAATATGATTCCCTTGAAAAGGTCCCAAAAATACGAATGGATCCAATGCATTCAAGCCCAGGGTTTGTTTGGGGTGAAGGGACTCTCCTATTTCTCTTATTGGTTGATTGACTCAATCACCATGTTTACTTGGTCAAATCTCTCCATTTTTGGTACCAGTAAAATCAGCATGGTTGTCCCATTTTATTGCTGTTGGAAAAAAACATGAAAAAACAATTCAATAAAGTACCCTAAAATTTGATGGTCGATCATCCTTTTCGCAACTTACAGTAAATAGCAGCAATTTGGGGGGTATCCTGTCCCCCATTTTTTGGACAAACCCATTCTGGACGACCACAACTGGGACGCCAGGCTCGACAGTCTGCAGGAGGTTTGGATCAGACAGCTTGCATGTGCCTCAGAATGGCAACAAGTTTTTGGCCAAATGGACCTAGATGGACCTACTTTTCATATCGAAATGACATCCCATTCATTGCTTGACCCTGCGCGGAAAATAGACCGTGTCAACGGTTTCTTTTTGAAGGGTCTCCAAATCGGACGAATCCAGTTCATCTCTTTTCATAGGGACTGAGGACGGCACCCATTCCTTGTTCGCTTGCCATTTTGCCATAGAGCTTGATGTATTTGTTTGCCTTTCGCCAGCCATAGTTGCTGGATCAATGTCGGAGCGGTTGTATCCCAGTCGAAAAGAACTGCTTGAGTCCTAGATTCCTAGGTCTCAATTTCACGGAAAATCCCTTGCCCTCAACTAGGATCGCCCTTATCATCCACACATCCACACACATAGTGGGACTCAATTCAAGTGAACACACTCCACCCGCAGCCCATAGCTGCCATAGCTGCCTGTCTTTGTGGGTCAATCATCAATGGCCATCGCCTTGGCGCGGCTGTGCTCCAAGCCCCTCCATGGATGATCCCAACTGTTTCATCTCGCCTGGCGGTGGCGATGATGATCCCGTTCTCCACCGACAGGTTGTCATTGGGCAAGCCACACACAGCCCACTGCTGGATGATGACCTTGAAGCATGTGAAATAGCGTTATCATGCAGTTGAAGCAGTATAGATCTGCTTGAGAGCACTTGGTTTTTAGCCATGATACAGTCTGTCAGAGTCTGTCATACCCTTTTGAATGATAAAGACCTCTCAAATCCTACCTCTTACAGTCTTACAGTAAATTCAAGCCCAAAGCATCATCCACAACCAGCATCTACCCTAAGGGCTCAGTCCCTAGCCGGTTGTCCAAGCACACTCACCAAAGTGGCACCCTGCTTGTGCGTGATGCCCTCGTTGTCCTCCGTCGACAGCCAAAGCTTCTCGAAACTTTGGCGGTACTCGCCAGCGAAGGGGCCAGCATAGCCCACCATTCCAGCAGCCACCAGGGAGTCACCGGGCAGAAGTTCATACTCTTCGGTGAGGCTACCGACCTGGCGAGACTTGGGCTATTTTGGGGTCCATCAGACTCAAGGGTTGATGGCAATATCCGTGTATAGCACATGTACTCTGTGTAATAATCCGCCGACCCCTGCCGTCAGCAGGGGGAGCGCGTCAGAGGAGGCCTTACTAGCAACAAGATGCCAGAAGGGGCGAAGAGTTTGTGCAGAACGAAAGCCGGCTCCAGAAGGACACGAGCAGGGTGGCAGTTGGCAGTGTAGAAACGCAGGAAAAGTCAAGGTTTGGAGCTAGTTTCTAGTCGGTTCAGAAAGTGACGTTTGGCAGTCTGGGATACGGGCCGCGGGCCCAATCCGTCCTTCAATGCCATGGTGTTTTAGCCCTGCGACACGGTCCTTGGACTCCAGCTTGGACCGAAGCGGTGCAGAACGAAAGCCGGCTCCAGGAGGACACGAGCAGGGTGGCAGTTGGCAATGCAGAAACGCAGGAAAAGTCAAAGTTTGGAGCTAGTTTCTAGTCGGTTCAGAAAGTGACGTTTGGCAGTCTGGGATACGGGCCGCGGGCCCAATCCGTCCTTCACTGCCATGGTGTTTTAGCCCTGCGACCCGGTCCTTGGACTCCAGCTTGGACCGAAGCGGTGCAGAACGAAAGCCGGCTCCAGGAGGACACGAGCAGGGTGGCAGTTGGCAGTGCAGAAACGCAGGAAAAGTCAAGGTTTGGAGCTAGTTTCTAGTCGGTTCAGAAAGTGACGTTTGGCAGTCTGGGATACGGGCCGCGGCCCCAATCCGTCCTTCACTGCCATGGTGTTTTAGCCCTGCGACACGGTCCTTGGACTCCAGCTTGGACCGAAGCGGTGCAGAACGAAAGCCGGCGCCAAGAGGACACGAGCAGGGTGGCAGTTGGCAGTGCAGAAACGCAGGTAAAGTCAAGGTTTGGAGCTAGTTTCTAGTCGGTTCAGAAAGGAACGTTTGGCACTCTGGGCTACGGGCCGCAGAACGAAAGCCGGCTCCAGGAGGACACGAGCAGGGTGGCAGTTGGCAGTGCAGAAACGCAGGAAAAGTCAAGGTTTGGAGCTAGTTTCTAGTCGGTTCAGAAAGTGACGTTTGGCAGTCTGGGATACGGGCCGCGGGCCCAATCCGTCCTTCACTGCCATGGTGTTTTAGCCCTGCGACACGGTCCTTGGACTCCAGCTTGGACCGAAGCGGTGCAGAACGAAAGCCGGCTCCAGGAGGACACGAGCAGGGTGGCAGTTGGCAGTGCAGAAACGCAGGAAAAGTCAAGGTTTGGAGCTAGTTTCTAGTTGGTTCAGAAAGTGACGTTTGGCAGTCTGGGATACGGGCCGCAGGCCCAATCCGTCCTTCACTGCCATGGTGTTTTAGCCCTGCGACACGTCCTTGGACTCCAGCTTGGACCGAAGCGGTGTAGAACGAAAGCCGGCTCCAGGAGGACACGAGCAGGGGGGCAGTTGGCAGTGCAGAAACGTAGGAAAAGTCAAGGTTTGGAGCTAGTTTCTAGTCGGTTCAGAAAGTGACGTTTGGCAGTCTGGGATACGGGCCGCGGGCCTAATCCGTCCTTCCCTGCCATGGTGTTTTAGCCCTGCGACACGGTCCTTGGACTCCAGCTTAGACCGAAGCGGTGCAGAACGAAAGCCGGCGCCAGGAGGACACGAGCAGGGTGGCAGTTGGCAGTGCAGAAACGCAGGTAAAGTCAAGGTTTGGAGCCGCAGAACGAAAGCCGGCTCCAGGAGGACACGAGCAGGGGGGCAGTTGGCAGTGCAGAAACGCAGGAAAAGTCAAGGTTTGGAGCTAGTTTCTAGTCGGTTCGGAAAGTGACGTTTGGCAGTCTAGGATACGGGCCGCAGGCCCAATCCGTCCTTCACTGCCATGGTGTTTTAGCCCTGCAACACGGTCCTTGGACTCCAGCTTGGACCGAAGCGGTGCAGAACGAAAGCCGGCTCCAGGAGGACACGAGCAGGGTGGCAGTTGGCAGGGCAGAAACGCAGGAAAAGTCAAGGTTTGGAGCTAGTTTCTAGTCGGTTCAGAAAGTGACGTTTGGCAGTCTGGGATACGGGCCGCGGGCCCCATCCGTCCTTCCCTGCCATGGTGTTTTAGCCCTGCGACACGGTCCTTGGACTCCAGCTTGGACCGAAGCGGTGCAGAACGAAAGCCGGCTCCAGGAGGACACGAGCAGGGGGGCAGTTGGCAGTGCAGAAACGCAGGAAAAGTCAAGGTTTGGAGCTAGTTTCTAGTCGGTTCAGAAAGTGACGTTTGGCAGTCTGGGATACGGGCCGCGGGCCCAATCCGTCCTTCACTGCCATGGTGTTTTAGCCCTGCGACACGGTCCTTGGACTCCAGCTTGGACCGAAGCGGTGCAGAACGAAGGCCGGCTCCAGGAGGACACGAGCAGGGTGGCAGTTGGCAGTGCAGAAACGCAGGAAAAGTCAAGGTTTGGAGCTAGTTTCTAGTCGGTTCAGAAAGTGACGTTTGGCAGTCTGGATACGGGCCGCGGGCCCAATCCGTCCTTCACTGCCATGGTGTTTTAGCCCTGCGACACGGTCCTTGGACTCCAGCTTGGACCGAAGCGGTGCAGAACGAAAGCCGGCTCCAGGACGACACGAGCAGGGTGGCAGTTGGCAGTGCAGAAACGCATGTAAAGTCAAGGTTTGGAGCCGCAGAACGAAAGCCGGCTCCAGGAGGACACGAGCAGGGTGGCAGTTGGCAGTGCAGAAACGCAGGAAAAGTCAAGGTTTGGAGCTAGTTTCTAGTCGGTTCAGAAAGTGACGTTTGGCAGTCTGGGATACGGGCCGCGGGCCCAATCCGTCCTTCACTGCCATGGTGTTTTAGCCCTGCGACACGGTCCTTGGACTCCAGCTTGGACCGAAGCGGTGCAGAACGAAAGCCGGCTCCAGGAGGACACGAGCAGGGTGGCAGTTGGCAGTGCAGAAACGCAGGAAAAGTCAAGGTTTGGAGCTAGTTTCTAGTCGGTTCAGAAAGTGACGTTTGGCAGTCTGGGATACGGGCCGCGGGCCCAATCCGTCCTTCACTGCCATGGTGTTTTAGCCCTGCGACACGGTCCTTGGACTCCAGCTTGGACTGGACCGAAGCGGTGCAGAACGAAAGCCGGCTCCAGGAGGACACGAGCAGGGTGGCAGTTGGCAATGCAGAAACGCAGGAAAAATCAAGGTTTGGAGCTAGTTTCTAGTCGGTTCAGAAAGTGACGTTTGGCAGTCTGGGATACGGGCCGCGGGCCCAATCCGTGCTTCTCTGCCATGGTGTTTTAGCCCTGCGACACGGTCCTTGGACTCCAGCTTGGACGAAGCGGTGCAGAACAAAGGCCGGCTCCAGGAGGACACGAGCAGGGTGGCAGTTGGCAGTGCAGAAACGCAGGAAAAGTCAAGGTTTGGAGCTAGTTTCTAGTCGGTTCAGAAAGTGACGTTTGGCAGTATGGGATACGGGCCGCGGGCCCAATCCGTCCTTCACTGCCATGGTGTTTTAGCCCTGCGACACGGTCCTTGGACTCCAGCTTAGACCGAAGCGGTGCAGAACGAAAGCCGGCGCCAGGAGGACACGAGCAGGGTGGCAGTTGGCAGTGCAGAAACGAAGGAAAAGTCAAGGTTTGGAGCCGCAGAACGAAAGCCGGCTCCAGGAGGACACGAGCAGGGTGGCAGTTGGCAGTGCAGAAACGCAGGAAAAGTCAAGGTTTGGAGCTAGTTTCTAGTCGGTTCAGAAAGTGACGTTTGCTCTCAGGAGGACACGAGCAGGGTGGCAGTTGGCAGTGCAGAAACGCAGGAAAAGTCAAGGTTTGGAGCTAGTTTCTAGTCGGTTCAGAAAGTGACGTTTGGCAGTCTGGGATACGGGCCGCGGGCCCAATCCGTCCTTCACTGCATTGGTGTTTTAGCCCTGCGACACGGTCCTTGGACTCCAGCTTGGACCGAAGCGGTGCAGAACGAAGGCCGGCTCCAGGAGGACACGAGCAGGGTGGCAGTTGGCAGTGCAGAAACGCAGGAAAAGTCAAGGTTTGGAGCTAGTTTCTAGTCGGTTCAGAAAGTGACGTTTGGCAGTCTGGGATACGGGCCGCGGGCCCAATCCGTCCTTCACTGCCATGGTGTTTTAGCCCTGCGACACGGTCCTTGGACTCCAGCTTGGACCGAAGCGGTGCAGAACGAAAGCCGGCTCCAGGAGGACACGAGCAGGGTGGCAGTTGGCAGTGCAGAGAAACGCAGGAAAAGTCAAGGTTTGGAGCTAGTTTCTAGTCGGTTCAGAAAGTGACGGCAGTCTGGGATACGGGCCGCGGGCCCAATCCGTCCTTCACTGCCATGGTGTTTTAGCCCTGCGACACGGTCCTTGGACTCCAGCTTGGACCGAAGCGGTGCAGAACGAAAGCCGGCTCCAGGAGGACACGACAGGGTGGCAGTTGGCAGTGCAGAAACGCAGGAAAAGTCAAGGTTTGGAGCTAGTTTCTAGTCGGTTCAGAAAGTGACGTTTGGCAGTCTGGGATACGGGCCGCGGGCCCAATCCGTCCTTCACTGCCATGGTGTTTTAGCCCTGCGACACGGTCCTTGGACTCCAGCTTGGACCGAAGCGGTGCAGAACGAAAGCCGGCTCCAGGAGGACACGAGCAGGGTGGCAGTTGGCAGTGCAGAAACGCAGGAAAAGTCAAGGTTTGGAGCTAGTTTCTAGTCGGTTCAGAAAGTGACGTTTGGCAGTCTGGGATACGGGCCGCGGGCCCAATCCGTCCTTCACTGCCATGGTGTTTTAGCCCTGCGACACGGTCCTTGGACTCCAGCTTGGACCGAAGCGGTGCAGAACGAAAGCCGGCTCCAGGAGGACACGAGCAGGGTGGCAGTTGGCAGTGCAGTGTCGTCTCGGGTCTCTTTAGGATGCCATTTAAAGTTTCATACTGCGGTTACGAACGGGGGCTTCGGGTATGGGTCTTAAGTGCTAGAGCAACCCTTTAGGTCCCCAAGACACCTGGCCAATGACGAAAGCTCCTATTTCTTGAGCCATGAAAAAGTGTCAGAGCACATAGTTGTGCGTGTCATCCTGCAGGGGTCCATGCTGCTTGCATGTGCACAGTGCCAAACGCACATACAAATGGTTTGTTTAGGTCAGTTTCTGGTTTCTTTAGGGTTCATTTCATGCTTACGACACAGAGGCAGGCATGACCCTCCAGTGTCCAGGGGTCGGCGGCAGAGGGCGTAGCCCTTTAATATATATGTATGTATGAAAAGATATATCTACATATAGACACAGCATAAAGTCCATAGATTATCTCTTCAGCCACCAGAAGCTTGTGAATGGCACACAACCTGCAACGACCCTTGCCTTTAGAGAAGCCATGGGAGGCATCCTTGGTGAAGGGCCTCGGGTGGAATTCATCGATGTTTCAGAAGTGTTTTGTATTAGGGGATGGGATTATGGGGACCTGGATGCAGCATATAATATTATCCAATATGGATAATATGTATATTCCCAATATGGATAATTATTGGATATATTATAATAAGTGTTTCCAAATGGGATAGTATATATTCATAAAATGTCATAAATATGATGATTTGAAAATTCATCCAGCACAGCCCCAAGGCGTAGCCATCAGTGTTTCATTCTGCTCAGAGGGCCCGGCGCAAAGGTGCGGAGCACAGCGCCAAGAAACCGCTTGGCAGCGAAGGAAGGGATGCTGTGGGCGCCTTGCAACGTGTTGGGATCGAAAATCTAAGACCACAAGAAGCACAATCCCAATTTGGGGACCTGGATAAATGGGTATATATATATATATGTATATATTACAGTATATATTTATATTATATCCGTGTTCCTCTTTTACATAACTTTTTGATACCACCTTTCACCAGGACCCCACTCACCACGGCGTCAGTTTGGTCGGCACTGAGGCGTTGGCGTCCGGCTCAGTGGACATCGGTGTACTTGGCAATCCCTTGAACTGCAGGGAGTTGGCCGGACGACTGGACCTTAGCTGCCAGATCATCAGGTCTATGAGGGTTTCAACATGGCAAAATGATGATTTTTAAATGTGGGATCAGTGGGATCACAGATCACAGATCATCACAAATCATCATAGATCATCACCATCTTCCCATCCCACTTTGGCCCCAAGCAGTGGTGGACCCTTGCGGTGCAAGGGCACCGGGAAGTCCAATAGCAGCACCAGCAGCAAATGACCCAGCTGCCCTTGCACTCCACCGGAAGATCTCACACCCAGCAGCATGATCCCCACCAGCCTCAGCAACCGGGCCACCTTCGGAAGGGAGGGGATAGCTTTAGGAAAATGATGCTGCCTTGTCATACCCTCTGGTAATTTAACATAGCTATTGAAAATGGCAGTTTATAGTGGATTTTCCGATTAAAAATGGTGATTTTCCATAGTTATGTAAACGTTTACCAGAGGATATCTTTTTTATCACTAGATGATTTCCCATAGAAAATGAATTCGCAACTGGTGCACTTTGGGTAAGTCATTGGAACCAATGACCAACGACAGCGCTATCTGCCAGCAGCTCCTATGGTCCTATATCTCTGCCTCACTGCGCAAACCATGACTGAGTTTCCAAAATATACCTCTGTATTGACCCTAAAACGCTAAGATCAAGCTCGAAACTTCAGCACCAAAGCAGCCGAGGTGCTCCAGATACGTTACCCACAAGCGTTGGGCAGCGTGGCTTTGTGGCTTGCCTCCCGTCCCTTCCCAATCAACCACCCCGATGGTTAACTGGGGCATTGCTCATGTGCTCTTCCCCGTTTTCTGGTAGTATCTCCATATTTCTTGGGAAAAATTCCCCTTTGCTGTTGGCTAAAATGGATTCAAATGGGTTATAAGTTATAAAAGCCCCTATGTCATATGTCCCATACTTGATCATTTTGTTATGCCTCAGTTTACCATACTTCACAATTTCTTTAACTTGTTTAAACTTCATTACAACCTAAAAACGTCTAAAAAACAAAGAACCATCAAAGAGTGTCGCTTCCGCAAAACAAACAACGGCCCTTGTGGCACCTGCATTGGTTCCGCCACGTTCGCCACGGTCCAGCTCCGCCATGCCGCTGGCCAGGTAGGTCTTCAGCGCCGCCAGCGGCGTCGACAACACCCGATGCGCCAGGACCAGCCGTGGCGACGGCGTCGACGTCCGCAGGTACCGCGCCGTCAGGCGCAACGTGGCACTCAACCGGTGCTGGAGAGACCTGAAGCGCCAGGACCTTTTGAAGGAGAGCTGTAGGTAAGTTGGTAAACAATGATCTTACTGGTGCTTAGGAAATGGATGGGAATGGGGGAATGGGATGATTATTACTAGTGATTATGGATCATTCCCTCATTCCCTGCTAAGCACCAGTAAGTGATATAAACAATGGAATAAATATCACTAGACTAAGTTGGCTGGATTTATGATGGAGATATCTTTGGGGAAACTAAAGCAACTTGTAGCTGGGGGGGCTTTCATCTGTGGTTGTGGTTGGCTTTCTGTTGAAACAGAATTGTTGGAAGATGCTTGTAAACTGGAAAAACATGGAAAAACCGTTGATATCTAAGAAGACACTCAACATGTTCATACGGGTGTGGCTGAAAATTGTGTATACACCCCCAAATAGCCATTCATTTGCAGGGTCAAAAGGATGATTTTAAAAAAAAAAACCACTGGATTTTGGCATAGCAACCAGTTTCAGACAAACCTATGCATTCCTGATCTGATTCATAGCATTTCTGGAAACCTGGAGGTACCTGGAGGTAACTGTGCAATCGCTTCCCCGGTGGGCCCCAAGATGTCCCAAAAATCAGTGGGGCCCCGGGCATGATCACATCTGGCCCAGCGGTGCCGGCTCGTTGAGCACCCTCAAAGATCAAACTGATTTGGGGATGGGTCAAAACCCTGGTACCCCTAGTGAACCCCAAGTCATAGCTGGGATTTATGGATGTGAATAACCCACTAAAAATGTATCTATAGGTATTGACCCAATGATGATTTCATGAATTTAGGATCCAAATGACTAGTGAAGTTGCCAGAAGTTACATGAAGTACACATCGCGATTTTGAAGAATTCATCCACCACATGCAATCCTTCACTGAATTCATCCAAATGCCAGCCTTCAGTTGTGAGAGAGTCTGGGTCAAAGATGTGGCCAGCATCTTGAGGAAGCTGTCCATACCAAGCCTCGACAAGGCTTTCATGTCAGCTCTCGAGCATGGTGGAACCGTACCATATTGGAAGAACAATAACTGTCAAAAAAAAAGTTGGTATCCAAGGCGAATTGGGTATGCAATAAAACACATGTTATTTATCAAAGAAAATACCATGCGCCTGTGAATCTCCTATCTCTATCTCCGGTTTATTCGCGTGCCTCTGGTGCCACTGCCACTTGCCGAAACCGTGCGGTGGGAAATGACCTGAGCAACAGAGGAGCTATCAGAAAGGGGACGTGCAAGCCTCTGTCTTCTTGTTGGCTGATACATTCGACAAACAGGAATGGAATTCCTATATTATCACTATCATATATATATATCATACATTGTTATATATATATATATACATATATTATACATATAAATACAGAAATAGATACAGATAGAGATACAGATGTAGATATAGATAGATATATGATCTTTATCACTGGAGCAAAAACTCATCTATCATCCCCACTGGGTGCCGATCGCTCGGCAGGATCATCAAAGTTGACTTCCTGGACTTCTTCCTTGGATCGGAAACTCATCCACTGATGCAACCCGTGTATCCTTAATATAAATATAGGGGGTTCCACAAATGGGGGGGATCCCCAAAATGCTTGGCTTACAATGGGATTTCCCCAAAATGGTTGGTTTATAATCGAAAATCCTATCAAAATGGATGATTTAGGGGTACCCCCATTTATGGAAACCTCCATGTGTGTGTGTGTGTGTATGTGGTGTAGATCCATGGATATAGATGCATATTACATGTCACGTGTATGTATTTATATATATATATATGTAATACTGTATATAGAGAGAGAGATTCGTCAATAATCCTCAATCACTTGGTATATTAATATATATATATATAACTTGGTATATGTATTCTGTTGCTTTCTCATGCTGCACAATTCCGTTTCTGATTTGGGCTACGACCATCCGACAGCTTGGAGGCCTCAGTGCGTTGCCATGACCCCGTTGACCGCGGCAACGCGTCGCCGACGCGGGTGCACTGGGCACCCAACGTGGGCGCAGCTTTAGCCACCTTGATATCAACCTGTCGGGCTGTCAGTTATTGTCACTTGCGAGCCGCCACAAAAGATATGCATATGGGGGTTGTCTGAAAATGACCCCCACATTCCCATGGATTCCCATGGTTTATGGTTGATCTCATCATTTTTCCGGTTGAAAACAATGGCCAAAAAAAGACACCCAGTGGATTGGTATCAGGGGGCTGGAAGAGCTGGGATGATCCAAATTGAGTTCAATGGATGTAAATAAGACATGGCCCATGGCCCCTTTCTGCTGTTGGTGGTTGAGCCACACACCTGAAAAATCTGAGATGTTCATGGCAAAAAATGGAAGTATGCCTAACCACCCACCAGTTTTTCAAGATGGGCCAAACATTGCGAAACAGCAAAAGTCGACACAGAATCCCTGTCTGGTCTGTTCACACAGCTATTTGAAATATATTTATATTTGTTCAGGGTCGCACCTGTCTGCCATGCTCAGCTAGCAATTGCCACAAACACGAGGCAGTCGGATCGTCCAAGCAGGTGCCTGAGCACTTTGCAGCGAGCACAGGATGGAGAAGAGGATTCCCCTATTGGAGTGCGATAATCAAATAAACCCCTATATATCGGATAGTACAATCCCCTATCATCATTGATAATCCCAAATATATGTATTAGTATCATCATAATTGATCTCCTATAATTATCATATATTTGGGATTATCAATGATGATCATCATATATAATCATCATATTAGTATCATAACAATCATAATTTGATAATCATCATATATAAGATCATCAACCAACCGGGGTTTTGAACACTGCAACCATGTGAGATGTCACCGAGCCCAACCGAGCCACAAGGACTGCAGGCATCATTGTCGCGGCCGTTGTCAGCACCGCACACACAGCGTGAACCTTTCAGAACGGTGATGCAGAATATTCTTTGGGATATCATCGACTTCCCAGCTATTGGTATAAAAATGTCCATTCAGATCCCATATGATCCCATATACATATACAGTATGTATATATATATATATGTCTAGTGACTCTAGTGTTAAAGAAACAACATGTGGAAAAATTATGGAAATATCAAGTTTCCAATGGGTCGCTCCACACTCGGTCTGAGCCCAGCACTGACGCAAAGCCTTCCCGCCAGCCGCTGCAACCTCTCGAGCCGCGCCACTGGTAGAAGGTCAACCACGCTGGGAGCCTACGGCGACTCAGCTTTTGGAAGGGAAGCAGGTTATGTCCAGATTTTCCTTGGATATAAATGATAAATATATATGTGTATATATATATACATATAAATATATATATATACATTGATTTAGGTGGCTTTGGAGAAAAATCATATCATCTATGACATCTCCTTGACAAACCACAGCTGAACCATCCGAACCATCCAAGGCGCCATGACAGCGCCTGAATTGGCAGCTGGACAGGTTGATCATCCAAGCTGAAAGAACAGGCCCCAGCCCTGGAGCAGGAGGACTGCAGCATCTCAAAGATTTCGCTCACCGGCACCTCAGCTGGGGATAGCTGGGGATAGCTGGGAAGCATTTCGCATCATTTAAGCAATGGGAAACCAATGGGAAACCAATGGGAAACCAATGGGAAACCAATGGGAAACCATCAACAAATTGAGTGGGAATCAGCAGCAACCCATAGCAACCCCAATCCCCGGCATCCCCGGCAACGCCTCAAAGAAGGCAGCACTGCCAGAAGGTATGCATTGGCAAAGGCCCTCCAGCACCAAACAGGCGTGCAAACGAATCCGCCGGTAGGGTGCGGGTCGGCGCGCTGTCACCTGACAGCTGAAGAGTTCGAAGACTTCGGAGAGTTCGGAGATCATGGATTTTGAAGCGCCTGCAGATCAGAATTTATGAAGTTATCATTAAATCATGTTAAATCATGCTTACGTGAGTTCTGAATCTTCTATGTGTCGGCCATAGAATTCTAGACCGATCCCCTCTAGAGTAGCAACGCGCCTGTGCATCTCGAGGGGTCCCTGAAAATGCAGACAGCAAGCTCTCCTGGCCCAATGTGAAAACTGCTGGAGTTTATGGATTTCTACCTGGAGGATGTCCATCCGGAAGGCTCAAAGGATGTTGATGACGTACCAGTGCATGTTCACCATCATTATCAAAAATCAAACGAAATCATTTAACAACTCATCCAAAACAACCGGAACCTTTGCCAATAATTACGATTAAAAAAAAAACGGAGAGCCGAGAGCCGGGTTTCCTTTCCTCATCCATTCTAATCATTGGATCACATCCATTCTAATGATTGGATCATTAGGATATACATACTGTATAGGGTACCATATATATATATATGTATATATGTATATATATATAGCTGTTTACTGGGATAGTTCTCATCCATTTCATCCATTTCTTGGGTATGACATTAATGACCTTCTCCAACCGGAATCCAACGGGATCCTGTGAAGCGATGCGATTGGCCAAGGAGGCGGTGGTTTGCTGCGCCTCCGAGCCGCTGGTGCCGTTGCTGCCTCGGATACGTGAGCAGTGCTATGAACCTACAATGGTTTATGGTAGACAATGGTAGATATAACTATAGTTAATGGGGATTATAATTTCATGGGATTAACTATAGACAATAGCAATAGATAGCTAAGTTGGTGCAAATAACTCCAATAACTATGGTTTATTGTACTTATAACTATAGTATTCATGGGGTTTATAAACCAACTGACATCACTGGGGGGCCCCACATTGTATGGGATGTGAGTATAGAGTCTCTATGGAATCTCTATGGAATCTGTGCTATAGTCAGTATATAGACATCTATAGTCCAATTAATAGACCATTTAGACATGTTTTTGATCATATATGATGTAGTCTCTTGGTGCGGTCCAGCCAACTGAACTCTGCCACCCAACCTTGTTGTCAGTGTGGTGTTGCAGTCAAGTGTCTCACACTTCGTTTTTCCACTGCTTCTTGCACAGCCTTCTCCTGCAGGGAACATGAAAACGGAAGACAGTCGAGCAACAGCCCTTGAACCTTCATTGAAATTCCCCATATTTTTAGGTTAAAAAGGGATTCTAAAGATCCATATAGCAAATTCACCAATCAATTCTTTATCATATACGTAGTGCGTATATATATATATATATATTATTAATAATAATATACATATACCTCTACCTATACATATATGTATATACTGTCATATATATATATATTATCATTGTATATCAGGATAATCCCCAATAACCCCACGACCGCGGCTTCGCCAACAGGGAGGACCCGGACCTGCTTCATCCGCAGCAGCGGCCCCAAATCCGCCAGCAGTGCAGCTTCCCCGAGCATCTTCGCAAGGTCATCGCCTGCTTGAACCTGAACTATGGACCAATGGATAGCAGGTGCCGTTCCACGAAGTAAGTGACATGTGTGTATGTATATACATTTATATATATATAGTTACATATATATATATACAAAGCATGGCCACATTGAGAAGGGTTATGTCCCAACTCATGCTGGTCGTGATCATTGTTAAAACCCATTTGTATATAACTCAACCTGCACTGACTCACTCTGCTGCCCAGGAGCCTTCGGGCCTCCGAAATTTGGTTTCCTCGCCAACAAAGGGTTCCTCACAAGACCGGCCACTGTTTTGGACACATTTTTCTTTGTTGAGATACAGTTAACCCAAAGCAAAGTTGAATATGTAAATGTGTATATTATATATATATATGTGTGTATATATATAATATATATATATACGTGTATGTATATATATATATTCGAAATCCAAGCCACATCAAAGCCAAATTGCCAATTCAAACTTGCTCCAGCCGCTCCAGCCAAATCAAAGCCCAAGTCTCTGCAGTCCCACAAAGGGGGTCACCGTGAAGCGGCCACTCTCCATAAAAACATCACCGAAATTGTTGCCTCGGGAAGTTCTCCGGAAACTGATTAACAAAAATGGGACATCTTATGATATGTGGGATATAAGGGTATATACTTTATATAACCAATAATAATATTAATAAGTGTGTTTGTTTGTCCAAATATTGTTATTTACCGCAAAAAAAAAGGTAATGAGAACCCATGGGCCCATGATCATTGGGATCATGATATCATGATATATCATGTGGCTTGGCCTAATTCCAGAAAATCGAGGATTTCACCCCATGGTTAAAATGAAATTTGGGTGAATCCCCCATGTTGATGCACCAAAAAAATCATGCACCAAACCACAGATGCCACAGATTTTTGTGCTGACATGCTGGGTGTACGGCTCGCAGTTGTACAGGAGAAAAAACAATGGTTTGGAGCTGGCGTTCGCTGAGCCTCCGCCATTGAAACGCAGGATGAAATTTTCAAGCCATCAACTCTCAGCTAGTGGCCCTGGAAAATCTCAATCCAACAATCCAACATCCCACTTGCATCCATCTGCCATTGGACCATTGGAGTTATGAAAATTTCCATCGGAGCTTCCGAGCCTCCATCTTTAGCCTCCGTGACAATCTGGAACTCGAGAGTGTCTTCAATCTCTGTGTGGTGCTGGGAGCATCGCGAGGATCTCCCGCCACCAACTTGGCGGCATCGAGGTTCAACGGGGGTACCGAGGGCCGACCCAGCCCCAGAGATCCTGCCGAGAGATGTTTACCAACTGCAACACAGAAACTTATCACTGAAAAGATGGATTTTTTAATGTGTAGCTACTACATTTACAATGTATTATATATAATATCATTACATATATATATATACATACATGTGTGTGTGCGTGTGCATATCCACATCTCATCTGTGCACATTATTGTAACAGATACATGGCGATGGCGTGACCTTTTTGACACGGCTCCTTTTATGGCTTGCATCGGCCACCGCAGGGGAGCCGCCAGGTCTTGGTAGGATGTCATTTGGGTCTAAAAATTGGAGATTGAAAGAAACCAAATCTTGGTCATTGAATATACATTTATATACATATATATATATATTGACATATTTACATATAAGACAAATAAAGTGATATGAAAAACTAACGTTCTATCGACAATCATATAATGTTCTAGTACTTACTGAGATTCTCAAATAAAGATACACAATGGAAATGCAACACAACGATCAAAAAGGGTGCGACTCAGCATGAGCAATCTAAGATCCGAATAGAACGTAGCAAATAGGATCAAATAAACTTGTCAGAGAGTAGGATGTAGAAGAAACACACCATAATGGTTCATGGTTGCACCTAGATACATGTCTGCATTACAAACAACGACATCCAAAAATCATTGGGAGCCTTCTACACATCGGAATTGGCGGTCACCAAAATCCATCTCTCGACGTTTCATCTCTTGAGTTTGGCAAATTATCTCTTTTGGAAATACCCAGTTTCTCCAAGTTTGGCATGCACATCATCTATCATCATCTGTGATCATCATAATCTATCCATCACTACTATCATCTATTGTCTCCATCTATCATCCATATAGCTGTACCAACCGTACCCTGCCATTCGGCTTCGGACCCATGACATCAATGGACAAGGATGGAGGTACACTAGAGGCTGGACTTGCACCTGATCCAGTCTCAGGTGGCTCACCTCAGCACGTCCATGGGATAGAATCCCAAGACCATGCTCAGTTTATTTATGTTAATCTTATCAATGTATATCATAGATATATATATATATATATACAGTATAGAAAAATGTTGGGATGTATCCACATTCTTGCTGATAAGTTTCCACATCATTGTTACTATCACTTTTCGTAATTTGTATCTGATACCCTGTGTTTCCCGACGTTCATCCGAAGCACTCGAGCAGTGTGGCATCTCTGATGGGACGGAGAGTGGGTGATCCTCTCCAAGAGACCTCAGCAGCTCCCAACTTGGTGCACTTGAAGTCACAATGAGAGCATGGTGAGTGAACAAAAAACATAAGTTGGGATATAATTGATATAACATCCCATAACTATGGTTTTATATATGCACGTATATCTATCATACAACTGGAACTGCACCTCTTAGAAGATCTACCAGGACATACTTGAAATCATGGTATCAGTGGCCAAGAATATGTGTTTCAATTGACGGGAATAAATAGAAACCTACTGTACAAGGTGATTCCAAGAGATCATGTCTCAGAGATCACTGATCACTACAATATATATATATATATATATGTGTGTGTGTGTACCATGGTTCATGGTGTGGCGCACTGCTCCAAGTTGCTCATCAACTTTGGGCTCCTCCACTGGAGACCAGGAGGGTGGAGTCCAGTCCTGGAAGGGGAAATCGATGCGGTTCATCGATTCACCATTAAAAGCAATACACCCATACGCCAAAGTCCTTGCAATGTTTGCGTTTGACAGCTATTCCCAATCAAAACGCTCGCCACGACCCCTGTCCCGGCACAGACCTTGCAAAACCCCTTTCCCCATTGGAACTAGCTTTAACAAGCCTTGACCAAACTATCATGGTTCTATTCGTTTTTGATCGAATCCCATCGGAACGCCGGTTTCCAACGGGCCTTTTTTCGTGGGCACTGTTGACGCCCACAAACAAAAATGCGAAGCAGGCCCTTTTCCTAGTTTGTATACTGCAGGATGGGTTCTGATAAAGGAAAAAAACGAGGTCCAAAACGAGGTCCAAAACGAGGTCAAAACGAGGTACGGAAAAAGCCCCGCATCTACACACATGGACTTTGGCCCGCAAGCCGCAAACCTGCCCTTCCTTGGATCACTGGTAGCGAAACAATGACAATTTGCAGAATCCCAGCACACCGCCATGGCAGTGTAGAGATGATAATCCCAGCGTTGTGTAGAAGTACCCGGAAACAGCAACAGCAGCAGCCGTCGAACCAGCAGCCGCAGCAACAGCAAGACCCCGGTGGCTGCAGAACCCAACAGCAACCATCCCAAACACAATGAGAACGCAACTAGCAAGATTAAAGCACTATGCTAATAGTAAAACAACGCCCTATCCCAAACACAACCTAAACGCCGCTTCGCCACTTTAGGTCTACATGAGATAGTAAAACAGCAACCTACCCTAAACACAAGCTAAACGCCGCATCGCCACGACTTCCACAAAAGCCTTCCCCCAAGCTAATTTCAAGATTTTTGGGATTTCGCCACGACTTGGGCAGTTGGGAGTAGACAACGACTATGACGTCTTTGAAACAAACATTAGCAGAAACTCGCTTCCAAAATCAAAGTTGTGTGGATTGAAAAAAGTCGGTCACCAATATCTTAAGCAGTACTAATCGCTTGAGAGAACTCTCTCAGCTGCACACCATGCCCAGGTTTCGTGATGCCGTCGATGGAGTCGCGACTGGCTGCCTGGTCAGTTCAATAAGTTTTTGAATTCAGCGTAGGCTACGTATGTGATTTTGAAAAAAAACTGTTTCAGCTCTTTTCAGTTACTTGGGTATGGATCAATACCTATTAATACCATTTTTAGTGGGATGAACATCCATTTACCAGCTATTTTGGGGCTGTTTCAACTCTTTTCAGTCTCAGCTCAGAAAACATGGTCTCATCCCCCAGAAAATACTGGCCAGGAGTGCGGGACTTGTGGCAAATGAAGACGAGTCCTTCAAGGCCGCCGATGGAAGAGTGCACAAGCGGGTGTGTCTGTGTATATATATATAACTTAATATACGTATGTAAGTAACATGTATAAAATCAATTCGATCTATTTACATATGCATATATATCCATCCACTCTTTCTATCTCGCCACAAAGGCCCCGACATCCGACCAGTAGCCGCCAGCACTTCCTCGCGTTGTCGCCTGACACAAACCATCAGAAACCATATTGAAACCCAATAAAATTGAAATCCCAAGATTTTAATATTGGCTTTTTACTTACAAAGTACAAATTTGGATTTTATTCCATGTAGGATTTTTAGATGGTCAAATCCTCTAATAGTTTGGATCCCAGGATTTTGTAAAATCCATCCATCTTTAAAACAAAGCAACAGTTGGAAATGGTAGGATTTTACCATCTAAAAAGATGGAGATTCCTACCATTTTAGATGGATTCCAAACAACAGGTTGGAAGAGAGAGCACGGACTGTGTCCATACCTGCACTTGCATGTGAATTCTGATGCTACGCATTCGACTCAAAATGGTCGGGATCTCGAGACGTGACCAGGGCCCCCGGGCGTCAACTGCATTTGGACCTCCTTCAACACATCGAAGACACAAAGTGCTGCATCCTCGAGTGCTAGAGGATTTATGTGGATTTCTTGATATTTCTTGCCCTGGTGTTTCCAACGTGCATTGCCACTCCACGGTCTCTGGAAAAGCCACACAGAGCAAAAAGGGTCAAAACAAAAAAGGGGCCCTCTGAGCCATCGAGCAGTATGAAGGAGTCGACCACTCAGCTCAGACCTCAGGCCAGTGTCCAGTTCACTAAACGCTTGTTTTTTGATATTGGTTGTCATCTCTATGTATGTGGTACTATTTATTTGTGTATATATAAGCTATATATATATATGATTATATATGTATATAATTGTATATATCGGATTTAGATCATAGTCCTCAACCAGGTATCTCTAGGATTTCTATAATTTCAGGTATTTTTGCCAATTTTCTTCTTCACCATCAACATCCATAAAAGTTCCATAAAAGTTCCATAAATTCACCATAAAAGTTCCACAAAAGTTCCATAAAAGTTCCATAAATTCACCATCAACCAGCAGTCACCAGGTTGATCTCGGCTTGGCATCCGACGAGATCCTAGTGAGGAGCGCCAAGGCCAGAAGGCAGGAATACCAATTCGTTGGATCTTCCAAATACGCGCGAAACCTGCGCAACCAATGGGCACTTCGGCACTTGTCGTGATGATGCTATGAGTGGATCTATTTTGGGATGAGATTTACTCCGATTTTTTTTTGGAAGGAAAAAACCGACCATACTTAGGTTCCGATGGATTGAATATGATTAAATCTCTTTCAGTCTATCTCAGCTGGTTTCGTGACCTTTGATCATTGGTTTAAGGTTTAAAATCTGAAGGAAACCATGGGATTTACCATGAAACAATAGGGGGGTTCCTGCAAAATGTCCCATCATCCAATTTTTGGAATCCAAATATCTCAGATAAAAGTCTCAGCATTTCAGATATTTGATTGATGATAATGACTCATGACAGAGAATGATAATGATCTTTGAATATATGTCATGTGATTCTCCCATGTCCAAAGGCCCTGGCAAATATCCTGTGGCCCGGGCAATCGCCAAAGGTGAGGGACGACATGTTGACCATGCACGTCACAAAGGTCTGCGAGGATGTCACAAAGGAGTACCTCAACTCGGGGCCCTCTCCAAACTTGCAGAGATTCGAAAAGGTCAAGAGTGTGAAGCATCAATGACTAGCAGTGTTTCAAAATGCTAAAATGGGGGTACACCATTTTCATCATTCATTTGAATAGGATTTTCCATTACAAACCAGGGTACCCCCATATTAGGAAAACTCCACATGCTACAGACTCAGCAGGCCCTGCCTCGATCTCACCCAGTGCCACATTGGGCAGGATCGCCACATAACTGGCCTGGAAAACCAACACCTTCCTTCGAAACATCCAGCCAGATTTTTAATTTGAACCATGAATTTATGACCAAAAAAAAAACAAAAAGATCCAAAAAGTGCTGTTTCACCATTGAAACTGGGAAATCTGAGGTATCTATTCACCAAAACGTGGGATTTCACAAGTTTAACCAAACAAAACCGGGAGATATCTGGGGAGTGTTCGTTTTGCCAGGGCCTCTCTGGCACTGCGCACACTACGCCTCGTGGAAATGTGGAGGGGGAAGAGTGCGAATGTCCAGTGATCATTGAACCAACATGTTTATTTCCAAAGATAAGATACAGGGACGTTCATTCACAGAGATTGAAAATACTGAGGACTTGATGTGCCGACAGGATAACTCGAGTTCACAAGGAAGTGTGAGGTCTGTGGAACTTAGATCCGAACGCTGAATCATAGCCGGGGCTGAAGGTCAGAGCCTTGTTTCGCAGAAGCTTTCAGCGAATCATTGACACCCAAGCTGCAGTCTCAATTCTCAAAGCAGAATACATACATAGGAAAATGTGTTGGTATGTACACATATATTGTATAGTATGATTATGTGATTGTATATCATGTACAGCGGCATAGAGTCACTGCAGGTGATTTAAATCAACAGTCACTGATTGCAAACTTAAATTCCGACCTTGCTGTGCAACAACTGCGGTAACAGCAAGGTGGTTGCCAGCCTTGGAAATGAATGCAGCTAAGAGCTTTGTCCAAAAATCCGGCATCCAAAAATCCAACTGTTGATATTGGTTGATCATCATGTTCACATATGCTCACCCCATAAACAGTTTTTGGATGAGATCTTCTTGGTTTCCAGCTCTAAAACCTCTGGAGACGGGTCCCCTGAAATTGCTGGAACATCGGCAGATTCTAATCTGACACCAATGCAAATTTCCTGAAAAATGGCTCTTCGAAGCGAAAAATGATGCTCAAACATGATTAAACATGATCAAACCACTTGGAAGACAAGCACGAAGTGCCATCACTCATCATTGCTCATCCCACCTAGAGAAGTTCCCCGGCGTTTGAGGGCAGACTGCAACCTCAGCAGTCGCTGCCGTCTCAGCCTCAGTGCCGCCAGGTGTCAGAATAGGACATCACTTAAAGGGCTCCAAGCAGTCCAAACAAGACTGGGAGTAAATCCACTGAATCACCTTTGTTGTTTTTGGAAACCCTATATTGCCCTATATATAAATGTACTGAATCCGTGGTCATCCTCTTTGTTCGCTAGCACTGTGTTTAAGTGTAATCACCACTCTGATCTTCGTTGCTGGCAACAAATTGGCATGCTCAGCAGGACCAAGGAACCAAAACAAGACAACACACCCACCACTGTTTTTCACTGCCTTTCAGAATCGATCATTTATCCTCATTACAGCATTTGGCCGAGGATTGCCGATAAGATCAGTGTCATCCTATAGGACTTTCCTTCTTTCAACATCATGTCACAGATATAGGTCTTGTCAGCTAGCGAAGAGAACCGATCCAATCTTATCGTCAAAGCTAGACTCAGTCACAGCCAAGGGAGTCTATGCATCCTCAGACCAAAGCAATATCATGCGTTCAAGACGTTCAATCCAAAGTCCAATCAGCAAGCGAAGAGAAACCAATTTCCAATCTTCACTGCTGCGCTCAGACAGCCAAGGGAAACATTGTCATCCTATAGGACTTTCCTTCTTTCAACATCATGTCACAGATATAGGTCTTGTCAGCTAGCGAAGAGAACCGATCCAATCTTATCGTCACAGCTAGACTCAGTCACAGCCAAGGGAGTCTATGCATCCTCAGACCAAAGCAATGTCATGCATTCAAGACGTTCAATCCAAAGTCCAATCAGCAAGCGAAGAGAAACCAATTTCCAATCTTCACTGCTGCGCTCAGACAGCCAAGGGAAACATTGTCATCCTATAGGACTTTCCTTCTTTCAACATCATGTCACAGATATAGGTCTTGTCAGCTAGCGAAGAGAACCGATCCAATTTTATCGTCACAGCTAGACTCAGTCACAGCCAAGGGAGTCTATGCATCCTCAGACCAAAGCAATGTCATGCATTCAAGACGTTCAATCCAAAGTCCAATCAGCAAGCGAAGAGAAACCAATTTCCAATCTTCACTGCTGCGCTCAGACAGCCAAGGGAAACATTGTCATCATATAGGACTTTCCTTCTTTCAACATCATGTCACAGATATAGGTCTTGTCAGCTAGCGAAGAGAACCGATCCAATTTTATCGTCACAGCTAGACTCAGTCACAGCCAAGGGAGTCTATGCATCCTCAGACCAAAGCAATGTCATGCATTCAAGACGTTCAATCCAAAGTCCAATCAGCAAGCGAAGAGAAACCAATTTCCAATCTTCACTGCTGCGCTCAGACAGCCAAGGGAAACATTGTCATCCTATAGGACTTTCCTTCTTTCAACATCATGTCACAGATATAGGTCTTGTCAGCTAGCGAAGAGAACCGATCCAATTTTATCGTCACAGCTAGACTCAGTCACAGCCAAGGGAGTCTATGCATCCTCAGACCAAAGCAATGTCATGCATTCAAGACGTTCAATCCAAAGTCCAATCAGCAAGCGAAGAGAAACCAATTTCCAATCTTCACTGCTGCGCTCAGACAGCCAAGGGAAACATTGTCATCATATAGGACTTTCCTTCTTTCAACATCATGTCACAGATATAGGTCTTGTCAGCTAGCGAAGAGAACCGATCCAATTTTATCGTCACAGCTAGACTATAGGTCTTGTCAGCTAGCGAAGAGAACCGATCCAATTTATCGTCACAGCTAGACTCAGTCACAGCCAAGGGAGTCTATGCATGCTCAGACCAAAGCAATATCATGCGTTCAAGACGTTCAATCCAAAGTCCAATCAGCAAGCGAAGAGAAACCAATTTCCAATCTTCACTGCTGCGCTCAGACAGCCAAGGGAAACATTGTCATCCTATAGGACTTTCCTTCTTTCAACATCATGTCACAGATATAGGTCTTGTCAGCTAGCGAAGAGAACCGATCCAATCTTATCGTCACAGCTAGACTCAGTCACAGCCAAGGGAGTCTATGCATCCTCAGACCAAAGCAATGTCATGCATTCAAGACGTTCAATCCAAAGTCCAATCAGCAAGCGAAGAGAAACCAATTTCCAATCTTCACTGCTGCGCTCAGACAGCCAAGGGAAACATTGTCATCATATAGGACTTTCCTTCTTTCAACATCATGTCACAGATATAGGTCTTGTCAGCTAGCGAAGAGAACCGATCCAATTTTATCGTCAAAGCTAGACTCAGTCACAGCCAAGGGAGTCTATGCATCCTCAGACCAAAGCAATGTCATGCATTCAAGACGTTCAATCCAAAGTCCAATCAGCAAGCGAAGAGAAACCAATTTCCAATCTTCACTGCTGCGCTCAGACAGCCAAGGGAAACATTGTCATCCTATAGGACTTTCCTTCTTTCAACATCATGTCACAGATATAGGTCTTGTCAGCTAGCGAAGAGAACCGATCCAATTTTATCGTCAAAGCTAGACTCAGTCACAGCCAAGGGAGTCTATGCATGCTCAGACCAAAGCAATATCATGCGTTCAAGACGTTCAATCCAAAGTCCAATCAGCAAGCGAAGAGAAACCTATTTCCAATCTTCACTGCTGCGCTCAGACAGCCAAGGGAAACATTGTCATCATACTGGACATTTTGGAAACGAAGTCGACAGCATTCACTTTCATCACCTTTTGTTTGGAGTGGCCATCAGTGCTTTTCACATCCTCATTGCATTGCTCAGACGAGGATTGCCGAATAAAAGCAATTTCTTCCTTTGGGCCCATGGAGTTGCTTCAGGACTCACAAGGCATCCAAGGCATCTGAGCGGAAGACTCACAAGGCACATCCTCATTGAGACCCTCCAGAAGATGCATCCTCAGCAGCCGGCTTTTCGTATTTTTCTAGTTCTAATAGTCTAAGATCATCTTAGTGTTTTGATTGCCTTTATGCCACTAATAATGAATAAAGATAAATAATGACTGTCAATGTCGAAATCATCGAGTCTTCTCAGCCCCACTTCTGTCCCTGCACCAACTCCATGGTGCCATGGATGGTTTTCCTCAGACCAGGACGACATCTGGGGATCCTCTTCATCTTCCTGTTGTGCCAATTCGATGCCTGGATGAAGACCGATGAACTGCTGGAACACCTGCAGTGTTCCAAAGAGCTGGGGAACCATTGGGTTTAGATGGGTTTGAAAAGGTTTAGTATATTCATGTATATTCCAATTGTGGTGAACTGAATACTCAACAAAGCTGGAAAGACACTGAATCCAGTTGGGGATAGTTTAAGTTTTCCATAGTTTTCCCCAAACCAAAACTAAATATCTTGGATTTTGAATGATTTTGAAAAATGTGTTCAGTTTACCACATCGGTCCGGTCATCCGAAAGATGGAACTGCTTCGCTCTGGGGCAGCTGCATCCTGAAAATTGTCCAAAGGTCTCTTCTCATCATCGTGCACCTGCCATCACAAAACAAATGTTTGTGATGATCAAAGCTTGATGTGATGATGATCAAACCTTGACTTTTTTTAGTTGGTAACCATCCTGGGCGATCAAACCCCGAAGCAATCAAAAATTGGGGCACTAAAACCTGTTGAACTCGTGCATACTTATGCAACACAATCATTGGCTAAACTTACCATCCTTTTCTCCGAAGCACCAGCTCCACCTGAAGCTCTTCGAAGTTGAAAACGATGCCCAGCGAGGTCAAGTTCCTCACTTCGGTGCCTGCCTCCTGCGGATCAAAACCACAGCCAGCTGTGCTGTCGCGCTGTCGCTGTGGCTTTTTACTGTGCTGTCGTGTCCTGGAATTTGCAGAGCATGACCCCAACTTGCTGCAAGGATCGGCGCGTCAGAATCACGTGATTCTGCACCTCAGCACGGACATAGAGGTCCAATGGTCTGGGCGCCGCGTGGGCGGCGCGTTCTGGGTCCGTGATTCTGAGCGCTTTCAGTGGCAGACGCGAAGCAGATCCTGCAAGTCCACACCCCTCAGTCAGACGCTATCACGACTATTAGTCTAGCGGATAGCCTCCAAATAAGGCGTGGAAAGTTCAAAAAATATATATATGGAACCCACCAGTCAGCATCCACAGCACAAAACAAAACTGCCTTCAACATACCACGGTCTTGCTAAGCAAACTAAGCAAACAGCATGGCATCTTCATCCATAAAGTTGGCAGCCTGGCTCCATCGAATCCATCGAACTCCGGGGCCAATGGATGTCAGCACTGCCTTGACGATGGCTTCCAGCCAGCTCCGTAGGCACGGCAAGAAGTTGTTCACAAGCTCCTGCTGCAGAAGTGAAATAGGACAGAGTTAAGATTGAAGGATTGAATCCCTCAACAGGATTTTGCTGCATCTTGGTCAAAACCCTGGTCCCCTCTTAATCCAAGAAATGAACAGACTAGACATGACTAGACTATTTGGGATATTTTTTCACCTACAAAATATCTGGGTCAAAACCTCTTCTCATATTCCATCATATTCCCTAGCCATGGCATCCATGGATCATGACATATGGGACCTGCGTCTTCTCGAACTGCTTTGGATCGGCATAGAAGACAGGTCTCCGGAGTCCCCTCAGCAGATGTCTCTTTGCAAATCAAAGGGAAACAACGAAGTTTTACTGCGGAAGTTAAAGCTCAACCAAGATTTCTATGAAGGTTGAACAAAAGTTGAACTCTTAACACCATTTTCTCCAAGTTGCTCTCGATAAAGCTCTTTGAGCTGGATCCAATTGTTCTCGTAGTGGATCACTGTCCTCTCTTGGCCAT